AAATAAGGACTTTGTCTTCTAAGTAAGAATCCTGTGGTCCAATCTGCCATCGTCAACTGCACCTCTGTCTGGAGATGATCCAGAAGACAGATTGAAGGGCTGCTGTGGGGCTTCAACCCAGGCACCTCAATACTGAAACTTGGCCCTTGCATTCTGAGGTGATGCCATCAAGAGCTTTTTCAGCTAAAATACATATCCTCCATTATTCAGGACAGGAATAATAAACTTTGAGCTGGCTCCAGATGCTTACACAGCATCTCATTTCACCCTGAAAATAATGAGCATCTTAGTCATCCCCCCCTTCCTATGTCCTTAGCATCTAGCACAATGCCTGGTATATACCACTGCTTCAACTTTTGTTTGATGAATAACATTAGAAGTGACTCCTGGTTCTTAAAACTAAATTTATTTTCCATATGTTTATTTTAAATAAATATTAATATGCAATTAAATTTATACCACACTTCACAAATACCATTAATATTTATCCTTTATTTGATATCTTCTAAGCCAGGTGCAGTGGTGGACGCTTGTAATCCCAGTTACTTGGGAGCTGAGGCAGGAAGATCACATTGTAGGCCAGCCTGGGCAACTTAGTGAGACCCTGAAAAAAACAAAAAGGGCTAGGGATGTGGCATAGTGGTACAGCACTTGTCTAGCATGCTTAAGGGCCTGGGTTCAATCTTCAATAATGCAAATAAATAAATACACAAAATCTTTCAAAAACTCAAAATGAAACAAAAAACCTCCCATAGGCTGGAGGATAAAGTCCAAATTCCTTAGACTGAAACTTAAGATTTTCCATGACCTGGCCAGATCACCACTCTAGACCCATATCTCACTGTATGTTCCCCTTGGGAAAGAAGAAAGGAAATCAAGTTACTACACCAGCTTTGTGTTAAAATATTCAGGTTCAAGTCTGATCTCCTTACTTAATAGCAGTGAAACTTTGGACAAATCACTGAACTTCTTTCTTTTCTCATTGTAAACCAGGAATAACACCTGTCTTAATCATTTCAAGATAGTTGACAATAGAGATCAAATAAGATGGTGACGTTTTTGAGCAATAAAGCACTGTACAAACATAAGAGATCAATATACTGTTTCTGCCCCTGCCCTTTGTTTATTATATTTTTCTACCCTGAAGATTTCATTCCCTCTTTCTCACCATTTTCTCATTTGCTCACTCACACGTTAATTAATCCAACAATTTTTTTTCTTTTTCACACAGTGCTGGGGATCCAACCCAGGGCCTCAAACATGCTAGGGAGGGCTCTACCACTGAGTTATACCCCCAGCCTTATCCAGCAAATATTAATTGAAGGTTTACTGTGTGCTGGCCCAATGGATACAGAGGTGAGGAAAATCCAACCTCATAAAACCTAAGGGTTTGTGGGGGAAAATGGTCACAATTCTAATAACCACACAAACAAAAGTAAGGCTGCAATTGTGACTTAAACTCAGGAGGGAGTTCATAGGGCCTGCAGAAACTATAATGGAGAATCCAGAGCTTAAACAGCTTCAAAGCCAATCTCAAAATCTGCTGTCTTCAGGAATCTTCCCCTTGATACAACCCTGCCCCAAAGATATGTACTCCTACCCTCAACTTCACTTACCTTTTAGCTCAATTTTTTTATTTTGATGGTACCAGGGATCAAGCCAAGGCCCGTTACATGGTAGTAAGAGCTGTGGCACTGAGCTATATCCCCAGCCCCTGTTATTTTATTTTTAAGTGCATCTGGTCTTTCTGATTTTACCTTAAGTGCCTTTTGGGCAGGAAATGCCTGTCACACTCTTAAAACCACAGCATCAAGAAGGCTGGGCCCACTGTGTTACAGGCCTAGGTGTCCGGGCTGTATCTCAGGAAGCAAGGAGTGCCTTCTTGATGAATCAAGATCCAGGGGAGAGAAGAAAATGCAAAAGGCCATTTTCCTATCCTTTATTGCACACTGAATCCACTGGCCCTCATTCTTCACAGCAAAAAAATGCTCTTGCCTTGAACGGGCAGGCTGCTGACCAGTATGACCTTTAGCCAACAAAAATTTTATCCTATTTCTCCCCAGCTAAAAATCCATCAGTGGCCTCCACGTCTTTAGGATGAAGGCCAAACTCCTGTCCCATGTCCCAACTCCTGCTTGCTTCTTGAATCTCAACTTCCAAAATGATCCTTACACTCCAACCTCTAGTCTCATCATTCTCATTGTGGTACCTCAAAAATACCTTTCTCTCAGGCATCTGCACTTTCACACCTTCTGCCTAGAACATCTACCTGTATGCTTTCCCTGGAAAACTCAGCTCAGCTGTCATTTCCTCAGGTTAGGGAACCCTCTTCTGGGCTCCTGCTGGAATCCACGTTCCCTTATGTACTGCACTGTAACTATTAGTCTGGATACCTACCAATTCGTGGAATGAACCCAGGGCAGGAACTGTTATCCTATGCCTGATTCTCCAGTTCTGGCCATGGAACCTAACATGTTATGAGTGCTCTAAGATATAGAATATATGAATCACAACCAGGCTCATCCTTCCTATGCCTACAAGAAAGGATTATCTCTGATATGCTGGGAGTATATCAAGGACTGCAATCAATAATGGACACTAGGGGCTGGGGATGTGGCTCAAGCGATAGCGCACTCGCCTGGCATGCGTGCGGCCCGGGTTCGATCCTCAGCACCACATACAAACAAAGATGTTGTGTCCACCAAAAACTAAAAAAAATAAAATAAACATTAAAAATGTCTCTCTCTCTCTCTCTCTCTCTTTAAAAAAAAAATAATAATGGACACTATGAGCAACTATTCCTTCCTTCCTTCCTTCCTTCCTTCCTTCCTTTTCTTTATTTGTTGTTCTAGGGATCAAACCCAGGGGTATTCTACCACTGAGCTGCATTCTCAGCCTCCCCCCCTTTTAAATGGCACTAGGAATATACCACTCAGTTATACCACTGAGCTACACACCCAGCCATTTTTATTTTGAGACAGGGTCTTGCTAAATTGCTTAGGGCCTTGCTAAGTTGCTGAGGCTGGCCTTGAATTTGTGATCCTCCTGCCTCAGTCTTCTGAGTCTCTGAGATTACAAGTGAGCACCATCATGTTCAGTCCCTTTTATTTTTTTAAATTAAAAAAATTATTTTCGCAGTACTAGGGATTAAACTCCGGGGTGCTCTAACACTGAGCTTCACCCCCAACTCTTTTATTGAATTATATATGGTCCTTCTTATTTTGAGACAGGCTCTTGCTAAGTTGCCCAGGCTGGCCTCAAATTTGCCGTCCCCTTTGCTCAGCCTCCTGAGTCACCGGGATTACAGGCGTGTGCCACTGTACCCTGATATTGAATATATATGACATTGAAACCATTAATTAATCAGAGATACAGCCAGGACTTAGAACCCAGGGAGTCACTTTCTGGAGCCTATACTCCTAACCACTATACTCTGCTGCCTCCAAAAACAATCATGAAGAGATAATGGAGGTATTTACAACTAGGAGAAAATTTCAGAATCTGTAAGCTCAAGTTTCATGGGCATGTTCCCCAGCCACGCCTCTGAGCCCTGCTGTACCTCACTACCTACTATCTTCTTATGATGTTCCTGCCAGAATGGGTGGGAGAACGAACCAGCAGAGCCAGAAGGAAGAGTTCCACCATTCTCATGTGATAAGCTCAGAGAGTTGGGATTGTTTTACCTTGAAAAATAGAAAGAATTTTAGAGAGCTAGATAATATTTGCAGAAAGTGTAGCAACTATCTACAAGGACACAAGATTACATATTTCTGCATAACTGCATAAGGCAGAAATGGCCAACTTTTCAGCAATTACAGCTATCTGAAAGTGGAAAGCTCTTTTATAGGCAAGTGAGAAAGAACACATACAAAAACTCTTGGAATCCCATGGAAATCATCCTTAAACCCAATTTAGAAACTCTGGCTTTGGGTGATCATTCTTTGCTAATTTGACTATAAAACAAAATGTAAACTTAGGCATCAGATGATAAGTGGCAGGGTTGGGGATGTAGCTTAGTAGTATATTGCTTGCCTAGCATATTAGAGACACGGAGTTCCATCCCAGCACCACAAAAACAAAACAAAACAAAAAAGGATTTTCTTTAATTTTTTTTTTTTTTTTTTGCAGTACTGGGGATGGAACCTAGGTATACTTTAACACTAAGCTACATCCCTACCCTTTTTATTTTGAGACAGGATCTCACTAAGTTACAGAAGCTGGCTTTAAAGTTGCAATCCTCCTGCCTCAGCCTCTAGAGCTGCTGGGATTATAGCCAAAAAAAAAACTTTTAAAAAATATTTAATTAAGAAGAGATCACATATACTATTTTTTTTTCTTGTATGGGGGATTGAATCCAAGGGTATTTACTACTGAGTTACACGCCCAGCCCTTTTTTATTTTGAGTCAGGGTCAAGTCACTAAGTTGCTGAGGGGCTTGCTAATTTGCTGAAGCTGGTTTTGAATTTGTGATCCTCCTGCCTCAACCTCCCAAGTCACTGGGATTATAGGTGTGCACCACTGTGGCTGGCTATACTTACTACCTACAAATTCAATTCTATGATTGATAAATCATGGATCCTACAAAATCTAAGTGAAGGAGCTAGGGTTGTGGCTTATTGGTAGAGCATTTGCCTGGCATGTGCAAGGCACTGGGTACGATCCTCAGCCCCACATAAAAATAAATAAATAAAAATAAAGGTGCTGTGTTTACAACTAAAAATTTTTTTTTAAATCTACGTGAGGGTTATAACTTGAACAATCCAAGAGAAAGCAAGTAAGCGCCTCCAGGTACCTTCTAACTCAGAGTTCTCAGTGGTGCTCTATTCCTAACTTTGGGCTTAGGCTTTTACTCAGCTTGGTCATGACAGCAACACTGCTTGCCTACCTCCCAGAAAAACTCTTCACTGAGCAAAAAACTGCTGTTTACATTAAAATGTAAGGCTAAGTATCTTGCTTAGGCTTTGAACTACAAGAATGGCAGTGTTCATAGAAACCAGTACCTTCTTCCCTATAATCCCTCTTCCTTGGTCATGCTTCATTAGTGTTCATTCAATCTTTGTATGTCTGTGGGGAAAGAAAACACAGGGCTCAGAATTAGAATACCAGTGTGAGTTCTGGCCCAAGCTCTGCCATTGGGTATCAGTCATTTTTTTTTTTTTTTGGCATGTACTGGTTTCTTCAAGGCCCCTTCCCTGTTTACTTCACAAGGTCATATGTGCTAAAGTAGATAAAACATTTAGACAAATTAAACCCATCTAACACATGTGAGGCTTTACTATTATAATCTCAGAACTTCCCTTCCCCTGCAGTTGCATATATGACATCATGTTGACAGCAGTCTTGACCCTGGAGAGATGAGTGTGGTGACAGATCTCAGCTCAAGTAGGCAGCTTTGACTTCCTTCCAAAGTCAAGTATAAATGATTGGGATTTATATGCAGCTTTGGATCATATTTACTTTTCTGCTTCTCCGACTAATATAAGAAGAGCTGACTATATTTAGCTTTATATTTTATTTGGTTTTCTTTCCCTGAGTCAGATGGAAACTGTTTCTTCCTACCCTGTCCTTCTTCTCATGTTGAGTTTCACAAAGGCAAAGATCATTTCCCTTTTTGGCCACACAACTCTCTCATGGTAAGAACTAGTCCTTCCCTCAACACCCAATCAGAACAGGAAATCTCTGAGAAGGGGAACCACGTCTTTGTGCTCTATTTACAAGACTCGGTGAGATTACTCAAAGAAGTGAGATCCAAGGGACTGAAACATTCGAGTCTAAAAATTAAGATGCTGCAGATTATCTTCTAATAACTGATTTCCTTAGGTGGATGCCTGGAACAGACAATGGGAATTTTGTGATGGTAACGAATTTAGAGGGCTTAGAGGCAGACAGATCCAAATTTGTATACTTAGTTGCCACTTACTAGCTATACGACTGAATGATTTACCAACCTCTCTGGGCCACTTTGTTTTTAACGTCTGCGAAAAAGGGGAATGATGGCAACTACATTCTAAGCTTGTTGATAAGATCATATGCCCATTAAATAGTGGAAGGCTCTTGTGGGTATACATCAGGAAATAAAAGGGACAATATGTGCAGAAGGGCTCTGTAGAGACCAATACCTCGGTATCTGGAGGTCAAGATGCAGCAAGCCCTGCATGCCGAGCAGTCGGGTCTCCAGGCTCGGAGGCAGTTTTTTTGCACACTACAATCCTGTCTCCTCTCATGAGGCCTTAAATTGCCAACGACCTGGGGCTGTCTAGAATCCCGAGTGAGTAAAGCTGCCAGAAGCCGATCTGGCTTCTAGCAGGAAAGTCCCCTCTGAGAAGGGGCCGGACCTTCGGGTCCCGGCAAGTCGCACCCGCGGGCCTGTCTCTCTCACTTACCCGAGAATAGTAACGGTCCTTAACGGCAGTCAATAACGGGTCACCTGCGGCCCGGGAACTATCTATCAGGGGCAGGCTGAAGTCAAACCTAGACTTTGGAGCCTCCACGCCCCAAACCCTAAACCAACATCGAACTACAACTCCCAGCATGCCCCGCGGCCGCCCGGGTACGAGAGGGTCGGCCCCACCAACCTTGCGGCCCTGCTTCCCTCCAAGCGCAGCCGAACGTCGGGGTTTCCGGGATTGCTTTCCACAACCCTCTCACCAGGACAGCCTCCCTTCGTGATTTCTGGGTACTGTAGTTCACCTTGTTCCGGTTTCTCGGAAAAGAATTGCTCCCATTGGCAGCTCCCTTCCTCATAAAAACTACAAAACCCACATTACAGCGCAAGCGCTCTTCGTCCAATAGGAGCCGCCCATGTAGCGGGACTCAGAGCACGGCTCTCGCAACCCAAGATGGCGGACGAGAGTGAGACAGCAGTGAAGCCGCCGGCACCTCAGTTGCCGCAGATGATGGAAGGGAACGGAAACGGCCACCAACACTGCAGCGATTGCGAGAACGAGGAGGACAACAGCTACAACCGGGGGTAACGAGATCCTCGGAGTTCAATTTTCATCCAGTCTCCCTCAACCTGGGTCTTTGGGGTGCGGGGAAGTCACAGGGAGCTTAATCTAACCCCACCCCCATGTTCTTATTGGCTAAGACATTAGGATCTCGATTGGTGATTGGTTGCTGCCTTTGTCATTTACCAGGGGTGGGCACTCAGTATATTAAAGCCAGAGACCTTCAGTACTTTTATTATATAAAAGTTCTGTGTAATGTTCCACTCGTGTGCTTCAGGCGCGTCCGTGGAAAAGAGCATGATGAACGATGGTTTTCGATGGCGCAACACGGGTCAATCTAGTAACTATAGTGAGAGGGAACGTTACTTCTTGAGGTGTTTTTGAACAACGTGACTATCAATGAAGGAATAATAACACATTTCGTTGCAATTCACATTCAATGAGGAAATTCATCAGGGTATACAAACCATATATATAATTATGTTGTAAAATATCACTGCCAGAGAATTCCCAAATATAAACTCACCCTATAAACCCTGCATAATTAACCCTATGGTGTTTTGATTTTTACGGTATCTTGCTCCAAATAATCCGTAAGTTTCCTGAACGATATATAATTAGGTTTTCCAGAGTCTTTGCTATGTTAACTTTGCGAAGTAGCCTAAAGTTTCAAAACATTGGTCAGTATTTGATATCTGTGGGTTTAATACTGAGTATCCTGTACTTTAGAGTCTTGTCATTAGTAACTGTATTTTTCCCTCGGGAACAAAAAAATGCACTAGATATTTGAGTGTTAAGTTCTTTTTCTCCAAGTCAGTTTTCACTTTGTAAGCCACAGCTTAATTAATCTTTCTTCACTTTGTTGGCACTCACCCTTCCTCTCTCTATTTACATGTACCTTTTTTTTTTTTTCCAACTGAAAGCCATGAGAGAATGTTCTGGGTATATAGCTTTTGCTGAATCTGTGGTGGTCTGATTTTTATAGCCAGCTTGTCATCTGCGGTAACTGCCTATTCTTTGCTTTGCCCTTCCCTCAGGGAATATGAAAGTAATGGTAGATTGAGTCTTTGGGTAAACCTTTATATTTTTATTCTGCTACATTGTAGATGTGGAATAGCAAAGGATTATTTAAATACTTGATAATCTACTTGTAGTGAAATTTAGATTGAAAGATCTAGCTTCCTTGTTCTTCCACCAGCATGAAATATCACAAGAAAGCCACTTGCAGTGGAGCAGGCCTTTAATCCCAACACTACAGGAGGCTGAGACAGGAAGATCATAAAATCAAGGCTAGCTTCTGCACCTTAGTGAGTGAGACCATCAGCAAGATCCTGTCTTAAAATAAAAAAGGACTGGAGATGTCGTTAGTGGTTCCTGGGTTCAATCCCCAGTATCAAGAGAAAACAAACAAAAAAAAAATCACAAGAAGAATGTAGAGGAAAAGGAAGCTTGCCGAGTTTGATTTTTGTGACTGCATTCTGTAGCTGTAACTCATCACAGATCTAACATAACAAAAGCCTTTTTTTTTTTTTTTGATGTTCGGTATTCCTAAGAATGGAAGAGCTGAGAAAGAGGAAGCAGGAACCAGAAGAAGGGAAAAGGCAGCCCTCTTGAGTAGAGATCAGAATGTGAGAGTCATTTTAGAAGTGAAAGTATGGCTTTTTCTTTTTTCTTTATGTAATTACTTTTATTTTTCTCAACTGAATTCTTGCCCCGACTGATACCTATAGTTCTTTAATAGATTTTGTTCCCCAATAAATTTTATTCCCTGTAAACTGGCTCACTCTGCAAACTGTTTGCTGTGGCTGGTAGTATTGCTCAGTGATAGAGCATGAGCTCAGCTTGTTGGAGGCCAAAGGTTCAATCCCCATCAACAAAACGAAAAAGAAAAAGAAAAATCTGTGTAATAGAAAATTCTTTTTCTGTTTTTTGGTACTGGGAATTGAACCCAGAGGTACTTTACCATTGAGCTATGTTCCCAGCCTTTTAATTTTTTTAAAGTTTATTTATTTATTTTAATTAGGTATATATGACAGCAGAATGCATTTTGATTCATTGTACACAATTGCAGCACAACTTTTCATTTCTCTGATTGTACAGTATTTTTTAAAAATTTTTAGTTGTAGTTGGAAACAATACCTTTATTTTATTTTTATGTGCTTGCACTTGCTAGACGAGCACTGTACCGCTGAGCCACAACTCCAGCCCCTGTATATGATGTTTTATTTTGAGACAGGTTCTTGCTAAGTTGCTAAGGCTGGTCTTGAACTTGTGATCCTCCTGTCTCAGCCTCCCGGGTCACTGGGATTACATGTGTGTGCCACCATGACCAGCTCTTTTTCTTTTTTGTAGTGGATTATAACCAAACCAAGTAAAACTTTTGTGTGTATTTTTGTTTATTTTTTGGTGGTTGTTTCTGTATGTGGTTATGGTTTGAGCAAACAGATTACTTTTATTAGTATCCCAAATCTAGAGATCTATAAAAATGAATTTGAATGAGGTGACAATTGAAAAACAGAACCCAGTCTGAAGGAGAGAGTCTAATTCTTGCTCTTAGAATCTGGTATAGAGTCAAAAATTTTCCAGAGGAGGGCTTGGGATGTGGCTCAAGCGGTAGTGCGCTCACCTGGCATGCGTGCGGCCCGGGTTCGATCCTCAGCACCACATACAAACAAAGATGTTGTGTCCACCAAAGATTTAAAATAAATAAATATTAAAAAAAAAAAAAATTTTTTTTCCAGAGGAAAGTGTTTTGGGAAGAAGCAACATGCCACAATGGGGAAAGCATAAACTTTGGAGTCATTCAAACCTGGTTTCAAAAGCCTGATTCTGACACTGGTCCTCTGACCTTGGGAAATTAATATAGAGTTGTAGAGATTAAGTGATAAACAGATTGCAGTTCCCCTCCCTCTCCTTTTGTTCCTCGCTCTTCCCTATCTTGTCCTCTGCTCTTATCTCAGTCTGTATTTTTGTAACCTTTAGCATAACAGTAGTAAGTAACATTTTTAAATTTTGTTTTATGTGTCCAGTCCTTCTTCCCTGACTATAAGGTACACAAGAACAGGGATTGTTTCTTCCAGATGCCTGGCACTTAGTGGGTATTAATGAGTATTGGATAAATGAATGGCAAATGCCTGATTCATTGTTAGTGGAGTTTCACTTCCCCTCATTGAGTGGAAAAATGTTCAATTTTTTTTTCCTTATATACACACTTTTTTTTTTTTTCACAAGAAGTCTCATTTTAAGCCTCACTAAAATTTTTGTCAATTGCCTACAGAAATCAAACAACCTCCAATTTGTTGTGGAAGTACTCCAGTGTTTTTTGTTTTGTTTTCGCAGTAACTGAGGATTGAACCCAGGGCCACTATACCACTGAGCTACATCCAGCCCTTTTTTATTTTTTATTTTAAAATAGGTTCTCACCGTACCTGGTAGAAATTTCTCCTTTTGAAATTGTACCACACACAATAAAGGTTAATAACAGTTAAAGCTAACTTTTGTTCTCTCAGGCATCTCTTCCAGGATGGGTTCATAGTGCTTTCTACCAATGAAATCCTGCACTGGATTAATAGGAAATGCAGCTGTGCTAGTTTGTTGTTTCTTTATGTAGGAGTTTAATTCTTGACGTTTGTCATTAGTGTTTTCTTTTAAAATTAAATAAATATAAATATTTGGTCAGTATAAACTTCATACATACGTATAAATACATACATATGTATGCATATACATAGGTAAAGTTATGTGTCTTTCTAGAGTTTTTTTCTTTTCTCTTTTTTGTTTTTGAGAGAGGGTCTCACTATTTTCAGGCTAGTCTTTCCCGAGCTCAAGTGATCCCCCATCTCAATCTCCCAATTATCTGGGACTGTAAGCATGTGCCACCACACCCAGATCTGTATACAGTTTTTCTATGGCTGTTAAAAAAAAAAAACAAAAACACTCAGCTGGGTGCGGTGGCACACACCTGTAGACCTGTAATCCTGGCAGTTTGGGAAGATGAGGCAGGAGGATTGCAAATTTGAGGTCAGTTTCAGCATTTTAGCAAGAATCTGTCTCAAAAATAACAAAGCCGGGCATGGTGGTACATGTCTGTAATGCCAGCGGCTTGGGAGGATGAAGCAGGAGGATCTCCAGGTCAAAACTAGTCTCAGCAATAGTGAGGTGCTTAGCAACTCAGTGAGACCCTGTCTCTAAATAAAATACAAAATATGGCTGGAGAGGTGGCTTAGTGGTCGATTGCCCCTGAGTTCAATCCCCAGCGTTCCCCCAAAATATAAGAAAACCGGCTGGTGAAATAACTCAGTGGAGAAATTCCCTTTGTTCAATCCCCAGCACCACAAACCAACCAACCAACCCATACTCAACAGAGGAAAGAGGGTAGCATTTTCCCCACAATTAACTTGCCTGATGTAAATGACTCTGAAAAATTTAGAGTCAGACTAAGATAATCTTTATGCCTCTCTGAATCCCTCTGGCAATTCCTGATTCATCCACATAGTTTAATTTGCCTTTTTTTGGGGGGGGTAGTTCTTGGGGTGGAACCCAAGGTCTCTCTTATGCTAGGCAAGTGCTCTACCACTGAGCTACTTCCCCAGCCACTCCTCCCCCTTTTTAAATTAAAGTCT